TTTATCTTTGGTATCCCCAGCAGAGTTTATCATCATTATCCCCAGCGGAATCCATCATTAAAGTCTTCAACAGACCTCTTATCAAAACTTCGGCCAAGTACCTCTTCCACGGAGCAACTCCCCGACCGTTCGTCAAGGATTTATTTTCCCCAAGACGAAATTACATTCATAAACATTTCACATTTCCATACATCTTGCTTACATACATGATAAAACGCATACAACACTATCTCATGTTGAACATCATGATATCATGCATATCATACATCATGACATTGCATACAACTTATGTTTTTTGCCTTTTCAGGAAAAAGACAATCCCAAAAACAACTACCTTCAACTGTCACAATTCCAGATCCGATACCTGTATCTAGCCAGGGCACATCTGAGAGTGATCAGTTTCCAGACTCGATTCCTGTATCTAGCCAGGGCACGTCTGAAGAGTTCGAAGATTCGATTCCTGTATCCAGCCAGGGCATATCTGTTGACGACTATTTCCAGACTCGATTCCTGTATCTAGCCAGGGCACGTCTGAAGAGTTCAAAGATTCGATTCCTGTATCCAGCCAGGGCACATCTATCAACTACAACATCTCCAGACTCGATTCCTGTATCCAGCCAGGGCATATCTGTTGACCACGTTTCCAGATTCGATTCCTGTATCCAGCCAGGGCACATCCGTGAGCAACCAATTATAGATTCGATACCTGTATCTAGCCAGGGCATATCTGCATAAGGAGACTGAAGATCAAACACCTGTAACAAGCCAGGAAAACATCCGTCTTTCTCAAATACACAAGTTCTCGCTAAGGAATCTCTTATGCGATCGACACTTCCAAATGGCATCTATAAGCCCATTCCCGACAAGGTTCTGCCACATCTCCGGATGGCATCTGTAAGCCCATCTCCCTATCCACCACCTCTCCAAATGGCATCTGTAAGCCCATTCCTGACATCACATTGCTGATACTTCAACATGCGAGTGCAAATTTCCGGGCACTCTAGTGTCCAATCTCCTTTTACCCTCGAGTCACGAAAGGCAAACTTGCCAATCTAACTCATCAGGTTCAAGAAGATTGAACAGGGGCAACTGTTGTACCCCAAAATTTGCCCTCCCATTTCCTCAACATTTTCTCATCACAAGACCTTTGAAGATCAAGATCCAGCTAGGGTTTCCTCTGCTCAAGACTTCTCCTTGCACTGTGGACTCAAATTAGGGTTTGTGTTTGCCCAAGGATGTTTTGACCTAAAATGCCTAAGATGACTTTCATGCTTCATGTTGGACTCCCAAGTTTACCCATGCCAAGTATCAAGTCTTGATTCCAAGTTTTACCCAGTCAATTGGACAGTTGACCTAGAAATCAGCTGTATTGGGGAAAAAGTCAACTATGGCTAATTGACAGTCAAAACTCATGAAATTTGACCCACATCAACATATTGAACTCATATGGACCATTTGATCAAGTTTGGATCACAATTCCATAAGAAATTTGATCAAATCACCAAAAGGGCAAAATGGTCATTTTTAGGGTTTTGACTGCACAAAGGCAATTTTTGACTGTTTGACCTAACCAATGGCAAACCAAGCTCACATATGGACTCAAGGACCCCATGGAATTATCTTGACATGTTCATCAAGCTCAAAAGATCCCAAGTACACAAGATTGACAGTTGAATTTCCCAGTCAATTGATCAATTTTGACTGTACACTGAAAAGTCAAACTTTGACTTTTTGGTCAAAATCAAGAGTCAAGATTCATTTTTCATCAAAACATGCCAAATCATGAAACTTGTTCACCAAGAAATCACAAAATGCAAATTAGGGTTAGAAAATGGAATTTTTCATAACTTAGAATTTTTCTAAGTTATGAAAAACCCTAATTTTTTCCCAACTTTGCCCCATCTTTTCACCAAGATCCATTTGGATTCAAACAAAAGTCAAAACATGAAAGTTGTAGCTTGTTGCATAATCTACAACTTTGATTCACAAAGTTTTCTCATTTGAAGCTTGTATCTCAAGTTACAATTTTTTGAATAAGGGCACTAAACCATTTTTAACTCAGTGAGATTTTAACCTATTTTGACAAGGTTTTCTACCCCACTTCAAGGCCATTTTCCATACCCTTCCACTTGGAATTTCAACTTGCATTTCAAAGATGGATTGTAGTACACATTCCAAGCTTTCCAAAATGTCCAAGAACTCATCAAACAACCTCATAACTTGAGAGATTCGAATTTCACAAGTTGGCAAAAATTCACTTTTATTCTTAACCAAGACATGTTCATAATCTTGCAAATTTGAACTCAGCTTGCTTTATGCTTGATTACAGGTCCTTAAACCAAGTTGCACTCAATAATTTAATGCTTATTCATTGTGCCAAGGCCATGTTCTTTGTGTTCTAACATTGCATAGTGGATTGATCTCAAAGTAGATAAAGTGCTTTATCCATTTTTGTAAAAAGCTAGCTTTATGTCAAATTGAAATCCAAGCAAGTACAGTTAGGATCTCATTGGCACAAGTTTAGGAGCTAATTTCACTGATCAAGAGAGGCTTATGCAGCACATTAGGGGGTCCTCTACTGACCTAGAAAGCCAAGTTGCATTTGTTTGCTTCACATAGAAGAAAAGTCCATAACTTGTACCAACTCTCTCTTCAGCCTAAAAACACAAGAAAGAAGTTATCAAACACTTGACACATAACATATCCAAGCTTTGGCACGAGTCCTTGACCTCTCAAGCACCCTCCATCTCATAATCATCCTCAAACTGCAAAAACAGGGTTGCCTCTGCAGTTTGAGTGCCAACTCCCATTTCCCTCGAGCATTCTTACCAAAATCAATCCATACACATTCCCTAGCATGTATGCAAGCTAACCATGACCTAAAACCTGGCCTGTAATCCCCCTAACAGTTTCCACCATTTTCATTTTTTCCTCTTGCAGTTGAAGTTCCACAGCTCGATACAAGAAGTCTCAAGACAAAGTAAGCATTGAAACAGCATCCTTGGACCTCAAGGAAGCTTTTCCAATCACTACCTTGCACCAGAAGTTCCTCATTCTCCAGATAGAAGTTCAACTGCACAGGTAAAACTTTGAACTCGTATCTCTCTTATCATGCATCTTTAGTCTTAAGTTTGTGAAGAAACAAGGTTCTACTCATAGCCCTGAACATGTACATATCTTTACATTTCATTTCTTTTGCCTGAGTAGAGAGAATTTGGAGTTTAAAAATGGCAGAAAAATTAGGTTAGGATTTGGGGGAGGAGAAATTCTCCCTCATCTTAGAGAGTTAGGTCAAGTTCCATACATGGTTAGAATCGTCTCTTCATGCTGAACATTTGTTGTGTTATGAGTTTTTGCTAAAAAGCCAGGAATCAAGAGTTAGAAGAAGCTGAACATGGCGCGCGTTTTTTCAAACATTTGTGCTGGAGGTTGAAGACAGTAGCATTGGGCTGGGCTTGTGTGTTTTTTCTTATTCACACCACATATTTGCTATTACACCCCCTGAGCCCATTTGCTTTATTTTTATTCTTTTTTGATTTTTTCTTTTTTGATTGACTTTGTTTATTTTTTCTCATGACATTAAAAAAATTAAAAATATTTTTTCCATCATTTTTTGAATATATGGCATATTTATTTGATTTATTTCTTTTGTTTGTATACAAATATTATATATATACTATTATTAGAATAAATAGAAAAATAGTGTAAATACATTTTTTATTTTTATTTACCTTCTAAAAATATTTCACACAAAAATACTTTTTTTATTTATTTTGTTAAAATATTAAATATATATTATTTTGTGTATAATACATATTTAAGACTTAATATATATATATATATATATATATATATATATATATATATATATATATATA